CACATGAGCTGACTGCAACCTTGACTACATCTCCAGATGTAACATGGTAGGACTAGAATTTCTCTGGAAGAGGCGATTTGGAATGAATCTTATACCTTATTACAAACTGCTTTGTAGGCAAATGCACTCATGCGGTCAAGGTATTAAAATATTTTTAACACCTACTTACAATATACGTTATCACAAACAGTTAGCTAAAACTGAGTGTTGTACGACCAGTGTGCGAGGTAATTTCTTCCTCGATAACTTTTCTCACATCTGAAATAGACTTCCTGAGGAGATACATACCGCAGGTTCGTTGTCTTTCGCACCTCACTTAATAAGCTCTTCACAGATGATGAGTCTATTACTGGTTTGGTCACTGTATATACTTTCTGGGCTGATGAAAACATACTAGGGCCTCTAAACGTGTAAATTAGGGCTATCGTCAATGCCAAGTACTTTTCCCTCAATGAGCCTTAACACTATCGCACGGGGCGCTTGACTACTATTCAGCTGGCTTGAGTTGTGCAGTTAGTAAAGGGTACATTAGTAAAGTATGCACCACCTTAATGTTGAGTCAGTTTTATTCGTACGTCTACAAACAAGCACTGTGTATCCAAGCACTTGTACAAATTTCACGTAAGAAAGTTATAAGAGTCACCTTTATATGCATAAACTAAAGTGTGCATATAGCTTAGGCGTCTCTTGGAAGATAAGAACTTCTCTCTCCCAATTTTGTTTTGTGTGGCATATCATTCTCCGGCTTCTGCTTGTGATTTCCTTTTCTCCTTCACTTTTCAGCCCAGGCTTGAAGAGAAAACCCTGAGCATAATTTTGACCAAATTCGTCAACCCACTGAATATGCTACTTCGTGCTTGACGCTAGAAATTATTGAAAAGATTCTCTATCTGGTCTTCCCTATTGATTTTCAACTTTCTGAAACGTGCCACAGCAAACTCGCCCAGCTACCAACATCCCAGATGCAGCCATGTACGAAAACCCAAGTACAATAAATGATCCGAGGCTTTTGGATGGTCGTAATGGAGGCAAAAACCTGGACAAACGACCGAATCTAAGAAATAAACTGCCTTAGTGACTCAACGTGAGACATCTTCGCAAAAATCTTCTCCAGCACTTCACCTCATCTGACACCGTTTTATAGAAGCCAACGCTCAACACACCTCCTTGATAATCCTGCATGCTTTAACGTGAGTTCTATGTGCAAAACTCCATCACTATTGGATAATAGTCCTTCAGATATTTATTTCTTTGTACAGCAACGACTAATTCTGATGGGCTGCGTCTTTATTGCTGAGCGAAGTCACACTAAGAGTGGGAAGTGTGAGGACTTAGATACGCACATAGATTGTATGGTCATGCTGACACTTACTGTACCTGAAATCGGTGAAGTGGGTTTTCGTTGGCCAACGACACTATAGACATGTGAACTGATGTGAAAGTAAACGTTCCTCTGACGAATCATTTGAACTATATCGTCAGGTTAACCATCTGGGTCACGTGTAATGTGACATTTTTCTGTTCTCTTCATAACCTATGGCCACTTTTATTTTCATGACAGACCGTGATGTGATACCTTCTGCATCAGTTGGGACAGCTCAACTACCGGAGATTTCTTTGGCATTATCGGTTTGATGATGCCTGTGAACTAGCTTTCCTCACGTTAAGCTCTTAATTTGAGGATAAAATATTTATTTATTTATCAATACAAATAATAATAAACACCCTATACCAAAACAACCCGCTCCTTTGGAACTACCAGCTTTGATAATCAAAAACCTGCAGAATGAACTCGTCTGCTGTACTAAATGAAAATAGGACCGAGAACACAACCAGTACGACCTCGAAAGAGGCCGTCTCTGCTAAACGCATTTGATACAGAACAGGCAGCGGAAATACATACGTAGGGAATGATTGGGTGAAATTTCCCCTCACAAATATGACGCAGAATCCGAAACCTAGGGACAGTAGGCATAATACCGCAACTAGTCAATGTTGGTCTGTAACACAGGACAAACGGGGTAACAAAAAACTAGCAGTGGATTGTCCACTGAGGATAACTCATGGGTGAACCATCCCCGAGCTCAAAATTACCACATACCTGACAGCAAAGATATAAGGCTACGTTTTTTCCACTACCCACCTCTCCGGTTGCCGAACCCATTTTCTGCTTTCCTAATGACACCACAACCGGTATAGAAGCCTGGAATAAGATACGTCGCGGACGGCACCACCTTCCTTTACCATGTGTAGCAGTGGCAACAACAAGCAGAAAGCCTACCCTTCATGCGCAGCACAGCTTGAAAAGAGGCAGGGAAAACTGCGATATACATCGGCACACTAATGAAGCAGTAGCAAGTAACTGCCTCACTTCTCTCCCTTCACTCTCCCAATACCTCCGTGTCTAACAGTACTAGTCATCAACGGGATCCATGGTAGGTGAAATATCAACCCTCAGAACCCTAACACTCCTAAAACAACCTACATTGGTTCTGGTTACAGAGACCTGGTCAACTCCAGATTTATCAGACGCATACATTGTAATCGCTGGATACAGAATATACGGACAGGGCAAAGTCTATAAAAAGGAGGCAGGTGTATTATCTTTGCGTCAAGTGCTATTATTACTGGCATCCACTAAAATCCTAAATTGGACAAAACCCCTGAATGTCCATGGATAGGCGCAGCCATCAGTAGACGCAAGCTCCCTATCGGGTGTTTATATAGGGCCCCAAACACTTCCACAGCAGTTGATGAGATGATCCGCGAAACACTTGAGCCCGCCACCACTCTAGACTTCGATTCCAAGATAACCCGCGGTGATCCTTACCTCCCCGGAGTAGACCGGGACCTACTCACGGGCCACACAAACCATTAACAAACTCCTAGCAGCCATCGAAAAAAGCTACTGGCAGCAGTACGTGCACCCCTCGACGAGAAACAATGATACCCTTGACCCGATACTTCGTCGCAACACTGAGCCGCTGTCCGTACAGGTGAGAGAAAAATTTGCAAACAACTATCGTAGCATATTGCTTTGCACTCCACCATTCCTGGGGCTCGTGAGGGTGCACACGAAGTAACACCGAAATACTACCTATAAAAGGACATCTAGAATGCTGACTGGGAGCTCCTCGAGACACTCGTAAGAATTTCATGCACTGAATCAGAGGCATGCAACATTTCTTTCGCTTCGAGGGAGACACCGAATGAAAGGATTGGCTGAAGGGCGTAGGGCCCTTGATAGCTTGTCCAAAACGCGAAACCTTCGTGGCATCCTGAGAAGGCGAAAAAATACGAAAGACTTTTTAAAAGATCATTCAGAGCATAAAGGTATAGGTTACCATGATCCACAGGTGATTCGTAAACTTCTCAGTTAGTTTTCTTTTCACCAGTACTAACCTGCCTCTAGCTGCAGACATCGAGATAGCCACTACAAGCAGTAGAACGGTGGGTAGCATAGAAATCTGCATGGGTAACATTAACGATGAGATTAAAACCCTAAAGGCAAGCGTTAGCTGCTGGACAGACGAGATACCATCAATAATTTACAGGAAGGCTGGGACGAATATGGCAGTTTTATTACTCAAAATATTTACCCCTCGTTAGATACTGGGACATATCCTGATAAATGGAAAACTAATTACGTACTGGCAAAGCATAAGTCAGGAGCCAAGACCAGCGTTGGCAATTACTTTGCAACTAATATGGTCACAGTCATCCTAAGGATTATGAAAAAGGTGATTAAAAATCAAATGTCCAATTACTCGCTGGAATCTAGCCATATCAACTCGCCGCAATACTGTTTTCCCGGAAGAAAATCTTGCACTACAGACCTGTTCGACTTTTTTAACGAAATCACCCACAAAAGGGATTAGAGAAAGGTAGTGATAATACCTTACTGCGACATCACTAAAGCCTTCGAACGAAGAAGTCCACACAACTTATCAATAGGTTAAGATCCCTGAGATCTGTAATCCACTCTAGACCAGTGCAAAATCCTCTCGCGTAATGGTTGCCAGGTAACAGAAGTTGATCCAACCTATTATAAGAATGGGATGGCAGAAGCGAAGCGCTCACAGATAGATGGCTCTAGCAATAAGATAAAGAGTCGGTTTCATTAATATTTCAGTTATGACCGAAACTCAATCGTCGTATAATCCAGATCCGATGAACTTACATGCCTCCACCGCTCGTCAGGGCTGAAGACATTACGTCGGTCATGAATAATAGCATCAAGGAAAAAGAAAGAAACTGACAGTATTAAACCATGATAGTGGAATCAAGCAAGCAGTTGAGGACTTCCACCCTTTCATATCTTTTTGGGAACACAACAACCTAATCCCAAGCCATATTGAAGAAGCTGAGACGCTAATGGATTACTTGGCAACTGAATAATNNGACCAGTCAGCTGGATGTTTCTGTGAGGTCGAGCAATTTCCTCATGTGTAGTAGCGAGAAACTGCAAAATATAAAAACAATTGATACCCGTGGCACAAGAGATGGATATCGTGCCCCAGTAGATAACGCTTACGCATATGAAGCAATGGGTACTCGGTTAAAAGTCTCAATGGAAATACCACTCACTGGGACGCAAATACACTCAGTGGACGAGCCCAGAATGGGACGAAACGCGTGTGCTCGATTTCACTGCTAGTCACTAAGATGAAAAAACACCCTCCTTAGTTTTCCAAAACCTATTGATTGATTTCTCTTAATTCGAATATATTGTCTAGTATCAAATAATTGGGAGGCCACAACCCCATTGGAAATTTAAAAAAAAAACGTGGAACAAGCTGAACACTTTCATTGTCATACAACATGAGCATCACATGATATTTGAATCTAGCTAATATAAACAGTTATCCCCAACACCTGCAATCAAACAAGTATGGATTATCCGCTGTTTTTCAAAAATACTAGGCAGTTACATCATATTGATTATTTGAACGGCGTTTTAGTATCACAAAATCAAAAATCAACAACGTGAATAGAAGTGTTCAACTTACAGCATATCCTGGGGTGTCTGTATCTGGCGGGAAAGCTATTGTTACATATGGGCCTTTGTAACCCAATTCCATTTCCAAAACTTCGGCAAACCCACGTAAAGCATACTTACTGCCTGTGTACGCTGCATAACCGTAGACACCTACTTGACTAGCAAGACTGCAAACAAAGGCAATACGTCGCTCATGGGTTTGGTGAACTTTTTGATCCAACATGGAAGGTAGTAAAATACGCGTTACATGAACAGCAGACAAATAATTAGTTTGCAGCATGCCTTTAATGTCATCTGTAGAAGTATCCAAGAACTTGCGTGCAACAGCATATCCAGCACAATTTATTAAAATGTCAATAGGTCCTGCAATTTAAAAAATTGAAAATTCAGCCTGAGTGTGACGTCACCTAGAATGTAATAGTGAAAAAGCCAATACTTGTTCAACCTAAATGTCACATGAATAGTTCCTCAAATGGTGACACAGTGCTGAATAGTTGGAGACAATCAACAGAGATTTGGATTTCTTGCGTATTGGTAATGAACAAGGCGTATCTGCGAACTAAAGTAAACTCAAGTCCGTTCAAAGCCTTTAACGCATGTTACACAGTGCTTCAGTAAGAGACGTTACCACTGTACTATTCAGGGCATGACTGACCTATACAACTGAATGATATATACTGACTGGGTACTGGTGACCACAATTCAAAATGACAAACAGAACACAGTCCCTAATTAGAGAGATAATATGAAATCGGTTATTTCCATGACAAATGAGTAGTGATACATCGCTAACTGCAAGACAAGATATTAATGTTTGAGAGTTCCATCTACTCAGATAATTAAACTCTAATGTCTACATACTTTTAATCACTAGGTAGTGAAAAGAATTTAATTGATAATTGTCAACAAACTCGGCGCACCGGGAATGAAAACAATTATGACTTCGTCATTATTTTAATAAGGTGTATGTAACCTTCCTTGATTATAAAATAAAACTTTTTCAATTCTTCTATAAACTGCAAATATTCAAATGCTTATCAAGTATTTTTTTTTACTTTGAAACAGATTATTCCCTCCTACATCATAGTTATGAAATAGGGTGATTAAAGGTGCAGATGTGAAGGTCCCAGGTGCTTGACCACTGCTGCCGCCTTAACATCGCGTTTTTGAGGTTGGACTATCAGGAAGTCAGAGAGATTAACGTAAGACCTCACACAAAAGTGCATCAGTTTGGGCTGCTAAAATTTACAGCAGTAAGAATAGCAAAGGTTTATAAGAAACGAATGGCTTTAAATTAGGCAAGAGTACATAAAAGGAGCAAGGGTAATAAGATGGAGGTTAATAGAAATACTCAAGATTTCAAAGATAACAAAGTGTATACATTTGCACCCTCATGACTGACTTTGAGACATACTAGTAGGAGTCTCCAGACACCGATTTCTATCGTCTTGAGGACTCGTCAGGAAACCATGTCTACTTACACGGACCAGACGGACAGTCGAAGACTTCATGAGTTGGTACCACGCCTTAGTCTGACTACTCAGCCTCTCTACTCCAACTGACACCACAAGTTGAAGTTGAAGTAAGCAATGGTTTGCATATGCACAAAGAATGTTCAGGTCATTTCAGTCACTGAGGGTCCGCAGCCTCCATCATATGACCTGTCCTCCTCGCTTAACAATTTAAACCTTATCTCGAAATAGTTCATGTAGAGATTCCACCAAATGCTAAAAATGCTGTGAGGACACCTGAGACTAAACACCTATGACTTCTTCATACCTCAAACGTTTAGTGGTCATGTCTCTACCGAACAATAAGAGGAAGCGAACATTCATACAGCATACTCTTCCTTTGTAGGCTAGTTGGGTATGTCTTCAGTGCTAGAGATGATGTAACTATGCAAATGCTTAACAGACGTTTTGAATTCAAGCTAAAATTCCATCCACGACTGATCTACATAACTTCTCAGGTAATTGAAGTAACCAGCATCCTACCTCTTCACTCATCCTTATACCAGGAGTCAATGTATAACAATCATGGAACATCATCTTACATTCGAAAGATGCAAAACGCATACCAAACATGGTCAGACTTCGGTAGGACTCGAGGAAGACTGACGTTAAGCATATTGGTGCAGCAAGGACGTCAGTTGATGAGATTGCAAACCCTCAGCGGTTGGAGGTTATACATATTTCGAGTCTACGACTACTTTGATGTGGTCATTCGAAGAAGGATTAGGTTGGTAGAAGTGTAGCTCACGGATTTAGGCGTTCGACTTCTGACCGATAGGTCACGCGTTTAAACCGGTTCCACGTAACGTCGGTTTAGGCAACCGGATACCATCCCTAACCCTCATACAATAAGTATGGCTGACTCTGCTGCACGTGTGCACATGGTTGCTGATTGCATTTTGACCCGATTTTTTTCGAATAAAACTCAAAGGTGGCTACATTAAAAGGCTGTACTAATCCCCGAAGTCTGTCACTGTTGGTGTGAACCATGTTTGGAAATGCGAGCTTTCAGCCTAGGGTGAGTAAGACAGCTGTAAGTAATAATAAAACTCAAATTCGATAGTAGTGGTGTCCATGCATCCACGTCTTATCTTCACCACATCTCAATGTGCGTTAACGCTTATTTTGGTCTTATGATTTCTTATGATTTTTCATGGTAGCTCTATTTCCTTGAGTTTCGTCTAGTGTGTTGATGAAGCGAAGTGAGGAATCGCAACTTCGATCATCAAGCTGTAGTTGTATCTCAAATTAATAACGACTGAACAACTGTATAGATAATCAATAAACATTACTTTGAAGTGATCTAAATATTCATTTTCCATTCTTCATGCACAGTAAGCAAGCTAAAATGTCCGTTACCAACCACATGCAATATACACATTGGCTGTCAAACGTACCTATTAATCCTAACACAACACAAACTGGTTGTGAATAATGAGTGGCGTTATATGAGTTCCCGAGATCGTAGATTTAAAAGAAACTTGGATGACTAAATCACTTTTTGGGCGAAATGATTTCTGTGGTTAGAAAGCTGGAACATCTGACTTATTCCAAATGGCATCGTATGTGCTCTGAACTTACTTTAACTAGTTATTCATGTAGATTATGTTAACAGTTGACTAGCCTAGTCTAAAAAACAAACCTAGTTATTAAACCTCATATTACAAAAAGTAGAATAGACTAATGCGGTAACACGATGACAGTAGAGAAAAGATAATTCGGCGAAGAAAATTTTCTTTTTGACGATAACAGTAAACGCATAGAAGTGGAGGTGAAGTCAACTTACACATATGAAAGTAGCAAACGAAATGCGTTGTGGCGAAACTATTAAATTTTTGCTGGTCATGTTCCGAACTACGAAAACTTTTCTGATATGGAATGATAAGAAAATGCCTCTTTCAAAATTTATTAAGGAATACCCCAATAGAGACAAGTGATAGAAACCGTAGGATGATGTTACATTAGCCAATCATGTCTGGTTAGAAAGACTGTAATGAACTTATAACCATATTTATCGTTAAATTATAACATCTGAATACGTATCTCAGAAAAAAATTTTTAACCTTTTCCAATCACATTAGTAAAACTAGCATATCTTACCATAAAGAGCCACATGTTTGATGAAGATTTCATTCAAAACATCATAGTCTGAAGTTAAATCAGTCGATAAAATAAATACATTGTTCTCTCCACCTTTCACACATTTTATGGCTTCCTTAGCCGACTCTAGTTTTTTGCGGTCACGAGCGACAATTGTAACATTTGCACCAGCTCTGTAAAATAGTTTTGCCAAAGACAGACCGATTCCACTTGAACCACCGGTGATAAGAACATTAAAGCCATGAAATGATTTTTTACACGCAGAATAGTCACTTCTGCGACAAAATAACAGGTATATAGCAGATACCACAGCTGTAGTGATGACAATGAGAATCTATAGGATAACGTATAAAGTCAGGTCAGTAAATTAGGAATTCAACAAGTCAAAGTTAATAAGTAATTTGTATTTCAATTAACTATTATTTTGTTGTTTTAAAGCAATATATTTCATCATCTGACAAGTCATATTCTACTAGCTGACACTGCTGCTCATTATTTTCCGAGGAAACATAAGACCTAACTGGTCTTTCCAGTAAAGGTAAGTGGAATGGAACAGTAAGTTGCTGTGAGATTGAAGATAAGTCAGGAATTTCCTGTTGTTTTTCGGAAAGATAAGGTTGAACTTCAACAATCTGTGTTCCAGACGCATCTTTGCTCCGACCTTCACGATGCAAGTAATTATTTTTTAGCATGTCAACAGTGCAAAGAATTGATTGAACCTGGTGATCTGGGAACGAAATACACGTAGCCTGCCCAAGTAAACTTTCCAAGTTCCTTGAAAGACGCATATGACTGAGCGACTTCGATACAACACAGGAAGTTTGCGGAGGTATCTTAGTTGATTTTTTATTTTTTAACTTGAGCAATCTATTCAGTTGGCTGAGTTTGGTTTGCTTGTAACCTGGCATTCAGTAGCAAAGCAAAGTGAGTAGGATTCTGTTTCGAATAAGGTTGGGTTAGTTCTCTTTCTACTGGTGGTTACTTTACAATCTATGATCTAAAATGGAAAGCGGGAACTTACTTTAAAAGCTAAGCATTTAGTGATGAGGATAAATTACTTCATGGCATTTATGATCTAAAACAACTAGTCCCTTTTATAAACTCTAAAAGAACAATACGAAGATGGAATTTATAAGAATCACGCGATGCGATTGAGCAACAGATTTTTAACAAACTGATTTCATACGTACTTGGCAGAGGTATTTGTATCAAAATTAATTAAAAAGATAGGGATTGAGAACTTGCAAAGAGTTCAAGTAGGAAGGCTAAATTAAGGGCCAAAATAACAATGGAAATTAACAAAGAGGCAATAATCGTGCATCAAACATAGTTCCAGTTTAATTCACCAAGACAGGATTACTGCATTAACACACCGGTGGTTTCAGCTTCCTAATAACTAAGGCCTCCAAAAACTAAAGGTTTCATCTCCAACACATATTGTGAACAACTAGTCGATGTAGAAACGTCAATATTTCGCAGTCGAGGAACTCGAATGTCTGCTGCCATCATTTATGGATTCGAGTGGTTCGACTTACTTTTGAAGCCACTTCGGGATATGTTCCGAGGTCCCAATATATTGCAACGTCGCTTAAAAAGCAAACTGAATCACTCTAATCCATAAACGATGGCAGCAGACATCCAAGCTCTTCGATTGTGAAACACATTGTTGAGTTAGGCCTCAGGATTGACGTTTCTACATCGATTAGTTGTTCACAATGTGTTGGAGACGAAACCTTTAGTTTTTGGAGGCCTTAGTTATTAGGAAGCTGAAACCACCGGTGTGTTAATGCAGTAATCCTGTCTTGGTGAATTAAACTGGAACTATGTTTGATGCACGATTATTGCCTCTTTGTTAATTTCCATTGTTATTTTGGCCCTTAATTTAGCCTTTCTACTTGAACTCTTTGCAAGTTCTCAATCCCTATCTTTTTAATTAATTTTGATACAAATATTTATGGGAAGTACGTGACCAATCACCGATTGTCGCAATCTTTAAGAAAGGTGAGGTCCTCCAATGATAGCCACAGAGGAATCAGCCTGACGAATATAGTGTCTAAGATTCTAGGGCCTATGATCACTGGAAGTCTGATTGGGGCTCGAGAACAGTAAGCCCGAGAGAACCAGGTAACCTTAAGGCTCGACAGCGGGTGCATCAATTAAGTACACTTCGCTACGCTCTGGGACAGTCATACTTATTGACGTCAGACACTAGCTGTATTTCTCGACCTGAAGGCGCCCGACTTCGTCGACTGAGAGGTTTTATGACGGTGTACCTCACTGAAATGAGTACCGAAAAAGTAGATCACTCTGCTAAGCGCTCCTCACTCGAACAACCGTGAGCGCGCTACAGCCTAAAGTGAGTTCTAGGTGATTTGTATACATCGAGAGCTGTTCGTCAATTCGATTATGTGATAGACACTTTTACTGAGGTCTCTCTCTCATCTGGTATCACAGGGGTTGATCTAATCACTGGAGAATACTTAGTAGATTTAGAGTGCGTAGATGACAGCTCTGTTAGGTGAAGATGCTGAGAAGGTACAGGATCTTCTGGACACCTTCAGTGACAGTTTGAGAATGTCAGGGGTGTTTCTTGTCACCTGAATACAAATGGTTGCTCCAAGACTGGTTCTCAGTAGTGCCCTGTCCAACACCAGAGTAAAGCAATTGAATGTGTTGACCATTTCAGCTACCTAGGAAGTCAGATCACTTCCAGTAGGTAGGTTAATGGTCGACGAAATCTCTGCACGGATACAAAAGGCTGGACTGGCCTTCGCCAACTTACGTCATCTGTGGCACCACTGCGATATTCGACTGCCTACTAACAGTTGTGTAGTGTGGTGCAGTTCGCCACGTACGGTACAGTCATCAAAGGTAGAACTCACGAGGTTTATGGTGTTTGACCACCGTTGCCTTCGTATCATAGGTCGTGTCGTGGGGTAACCTCGTCAATAACGCAGAACCCAGGTACAGATATTTTGGGTGGGGCGGGGGGTGGTAGCTGGTAAGCTTGTGGACTTTTATCAACTAAGATGGTTAGGACATGTATTACGCATACCCAGTCACGCAATGTTACGTAAAGTAGCTTCATGATGTAAAAAGTCAGACTAAAATATGGCATCAGTGCGTAAAGTCATTGACTGTTGCTTTGAGCCATATCAGGAGATGCGGACTAGCCAGTTGGGATCCATCTGACAACAGAATTCAGTGGTTGGAGACTCTGGGTGACATGACTCACAATCGATGCCATTGGCGCAGACTAACCCACGCTTTATCTTCATCTCAACCGCTTCTCAATCCTCTCTCACTTTCACTGCATTCTGCTGCTTCCGGCCGATTTTTCTTTCTTTTGTCATCTTTCATGCTACTAGTTGGTTACTTGTGTTGATGAAGTGTGGCAACTTGAACCACCAGGCAGTAATGCCTGGCACTTTATTCAAATTGACTCGACCGACCAGACTGTTTTAAATATGAAGCAGAAGCAGGTTTATTATTGCTTAAGTAATGTCCAGATAGCTAGTTTGAAATTTGGACAAAAGAAATGCTCAGTCACCATAGAACTGTACCAGTTAAAAAAGTTTCTACACGGTGAACCAAGCGGCTGATTCACGGTAAACATCTTTGCAATAGGGAAAGGGTCATCAAGAGAATTCATATGTAACCTTGACGTAATAGGGATCAACACAGCCTACCACGTTTGAAACAGACAAAAATGTCATTCATAAAGTAAAAAGAACTAGCCCACTATCCTGAACTACACTAGAAGTAAACAGCCAGGGTTCCAAAGTCGAGACTCAATTCTCATTCCAGGAATGGAATACTACTCAATGATGCCTTCGAAAAGACATCATCTGTCCGTTATGAGCAGATAATCATTTGCAGTGACCTCAAGCTGGAGAAAGCTAAGTGAGATAAATATACCTCCAAACCAACCAAAATGGATAAAATTAAGGGGAGAGAAAAAGGAAATAGGGGATAAGAGAGACAAATACCGACATTTTGCTACCGCAGTGCAGAAACGTGTCCCTCTCTCCCCAGTTAACTGGCTCTACTAGGCGAAAAAATTCCCTCAGTAATTAAATACATTCAAATGGAAACAAGTGTTCACCATTCATGCAGAGTGAGAAAGCACACGACAGTATTTTATCAAAACACTATTCTTCCTTTAACATATGTTACGGATATCCGTGAGTGATCACGAAATGCAGCTGCGTATATTTACAGTCCCTTGCTTAATTAGCATACCGGCTGGGATGCCGACTCAAATAACACACACAGGCTATGATAAAGCAGTATGATACCCGGACTGGCCACTAAACAAACATACACACAAAACCCGCCTTGATTACACTTCAACATCCAACACCATTCAAAATTCCAATATTCAACATCTTTTAACGAGCTAGTGTAAACCAATTGATTTTTTCGCGCTAGCGGAACGGTTTCAGGTCTTTGGTGGTTGGTCTACCTACTCGGCTGCTGTAGCTCTGGTTAGCCCGACGGGCGGTTGGGTGTTGGTTAAATTTTTTGGGGAGTGTTGTTAGTTTGTTTGTTTTTTTTCCGAGGACTATGGTTCAGATGAGTTCCTCAAGTGTCGTGCCTGCAGACAATTGGCCGGACTGGTTGTAGAAAGGAGATGAAAAATATGTGAAGAGAAATCAAGGGAGAGAAAGTGCAGAGAAAGGCAAAATCGAAAAGGAAAACGAAAAAAGAAAAAAATGATAGAAAAAGATTTGGAAAAATGGCAGGGAAGAAGAAATATTGGCAGGTTTATGAAGAATAGGTGATGGGGAGAGCTTTTCTAGTTTGAGGATGTAAAGTCAGAAGGAAGAATAATAAATGACATGACAGGACGAATGGGAATCCTTTTAGCAGGAGACGGTAATCTGTGGGGACGTCTACAGGAAGGTGTAAGGTTGAGCCAAGTTCTCAGTGATAGTGGTTTTACAGAGTGTTCAGTAACGGTTGGCCGTACTGGGTTGGTAGGACGTGTCAGCGTAGTCAACATTCCAATTGGATGGTCGCAAGCCGTGTGTCTCCGCGTAACTGTCCAACCTCTTCTTGAAGCTGTCAATAGACGGAACGGTAGCAGCCTCAGCAGGCAATGCTTTCCAGTGGCCGAAAACTCGCCGAGAGAAGAAGTGTGATCGCACACGGGTTTTTGCTCTTCGGTGTGCGATTCTCCTTGAGTTACCACAAGGATCACCATACTGGCCGTTCTGTAGCACTCCGCTGTTCGAGTGACTTGGGTTACTTAGTATTTTGTAAGCCGTCATCAAGCCACCACGTAATCTGCTGTAGCTTAGACAGTAGAGCCCTAGATCTTCCAGCTTGTCCTGATATGGTTTTCGCCTCATTCCCACGACACCTTTTGTGGCTCGCCTTTGGACTTTCTCCAGGAGGTTTACGTCTCTTTTCAGATGTGCAATGACGTTGTGGACCTCTGGGTGGGGTTGTATATAAGTCTTATGCAGCTTCAGAAAGAGTTCTGTGGTCAGGGCGCCCAGCTGTCCGCGCATGAAGTGCTGTACTGTGTAGGCTCTGGAGGTACCTCCTGGATAAATGGGCTAGTGTCTAGTTTGCTGGTTAGGATTAGTCCTAGGCCTTTCTATGTGGTGGTGTGGGAAAGTTGTGTTCCACAGAGAGGATAAGGGACCTTCTGAGAGTCAGGGGTGTGAAGAAACGTGGCTCGACA